ATAAAATATTACACATAAAAATCTTAAGCAAATCGTAAAGTATTTTGTTTGTGTAAAATAATATTACACAAACAAAATACATGGGGAAAAATTACCGATCACCAAGTTACCGCGTACCAAGCTCGGTGGGAAGAACCCTATTACAAATCTAATGCACAGAATTGAAAAATCAGTACAAATCAGTACAAATTTAAAAAAATCAGGACATTAGCGTACTGATTGAAGGAATGAAAATCAGTACGAAAGTTGAAAAATCAGTACTGTACTGATAAAATCAGTACGTCTGGCAACCGTAATTGCAGGTGATTTGCATTTTTGATACCAGTGATGGGCAAAGTTTTATTTACTTAAAATTAAGTGCTACGTATTTTGGTATTTATGTTGTAGTAAATATGTATCAAAGTACTACTTACTTAAGTATTTCGGATGTTACTAAATACCGAGTAGGCTAGTAAATACTTACTTATTTTTGCAGCGCTAAATACTTAGTTTCTAACTACCGCGTTCAAAAATATTTCGGTATTCTCAGGACTACTTCGGCATTTTTGAAACTATTTCAGGACGTTCGATATTTTAGGGGGTTAATATCTATTAGCATATCGATAACAATATTAATAATCATATCGTTTATAACAGCGATAACAATATCGATATATATAACGTTTGCAAAATCATTAAATTTATTGATAAATATATCGATTTCAAGATCGACAAATATAACGAAAATTTCCAAATAGTCCCGAAAATCATGAAATAGTCCCGGGAATTCCGAAGTAGTCTTGAAAATCTCGAAATAGCCCTGATATAATTTTTCCTAAATCATAAAGTATTAACATAGTTTGTAAGTATTCAGCCATGTACCTTAGTACTTTAGTGAAAGTATGTCGCATCTCTGAAGTACCCGAGTACTTTGGACTAGAGCATTTAGCGCCTTTACTTTAGCATCTAACAGCTGCCAAATGGTAAAGTATTTTTTACTTTAGTATTTACCAAATTTTTGTTATTTGAGTATTTATTTAGCAACTCCTAGATACATAACTAGGTTTTGTTTATTTGAATATTAGACATCTTCAAACATTAAGTAATCATAATAATAACAAGTAAGAAAGTCTAAGTTCGGGCGGAGCCGAACATTAAATACCCGGCGCAAGTATTAAATATATGATTTTCACCTTTCCGAAATCTACCGCTACATGGTAAGCCGGGGTGTATCAATTTTGAGTAAATTAGCGTCCTTAAATTTCGAAATATTGACGTTTCAAGCATTTCTAAAATTTACCGTTATATGAAAAGCCATAATTTTAGTCCGATTTCAATAATTTTCATCGTTTTGCTTTTATGTAGCAAGTACAATAAAAATACCGAGTTTGGTACAAATTGGTAGAACGGTTACCGAGATACATATATGTGATCATAAGTGGGTGGTGCCACGCCCATTTTTCAAAATTTTATTATAGACGTATTTCCTGGTAAGGAATTGTTGCAAGCATCAATTTTAAATAAATTGGCTTTAATATTTACTGATTTATCGAAGATTTCGTATTTCTCCAAATTAACGTTATATGAGGTGTGGGCGTGGTTATTGTCCGATTTCAAAAATTTGGTATCCTGTACCAAGGCCAATAACTGTGCCAAGTTTGGAAAAAATCGGTGCAGCGGTTGCCAAGATATACATATGTAACCATAAGTGGGCGTGGCTACGCCCATTTTTCAAAAAGTTATAATATTCTTATTTCTCGTCTGAAAATTATTGTAAATATAAATTTTGAGTTAATAATCTTCAGTAGTTACTAAAATATCGCAGTTTTCGTATTTCTGAAAATTACCGTTATATGGGAGGTAGGCGTGGTTATTATCCGATTTAGCCCATTTTCAATACCATCCGTCCTACGCCCGAAAGAAGTACACGTACCAAGTTTCGTTAAGATATCTTAATTTTTACTCGAGTTATCGTGTGCACAGACGGACGGACAGAGGGACGGACGGACGGACGGACAGACAGTCACCGCTTAATCGATTTCTCTTTTCATCCTGATCATTTATGTATACATTTGTCTATATCTATCTCGATTCGTTTTGCCTGTTACAAACAACCGTTATGTGAACAAAGTTATTATACCCTTGTGCACAAGTGCGCTCGGGTATAATTATATGATTACATGTGTATACCTTGGTAACCGCTACACTAATTTCTCCCAAACTTGGCACAATTATTAGCCTTGGTACAACATACCTAACGGCTGAAAAGTTTTAAAATCGGACAATAACCACGCCCACATTCCATATAACGGTAATTTATAGGAACACGAAATCTTTGATAAATCAGTAAATACAGAAACTAATTCATTCAACATTGAAGTTTGCAATAATTCTTTAGCAAACACCACGTTTACGATAAAATTTTAGAAAATGGGCGTGGCACCGCCCATTTATGACCAGGTGTGTATATCTGGTAACCGTTCGATCAATCTTTACCAAACCTGATACGATTATTTCGCTTACCACACAAAACCAAAACGTTTAAAATGATTGAAATCGGACTAAAATTACTCCCACTTTTCATATAACGGTAAAATTCAGAAATTGTTGGACTTCGATGTTTCCCTTGAACAATCCCTTGAAAATAAGTAACATTGTTATAGAATTTTGGAAAGTGGGCGTGATACCGCCCACATCTAACTATATAAGTATATCTCATTAAGTTATACTGAACATACTATCGAAATTGTTAAAAATAGGGGTAAGACCACTCTTTTACCATGTAACGGTAGTTCTCAGAAAGCCTTAAAACTATAATTAATACTTGCGCTGGGTATTTAATATTCGGCTCCACCCGAACTTAGACTTTTTTACTTCTTTATACTACACTTCGCACGAAACTGGATATATTTCTGAAAAGTGTTCTTCTTAGTCGATAGGAATACTATTTGTAATGCTTTGGCATTTTCTTCAGCATCTGGCGTGCTTAATTTCGTCAGGTTAGCAATAAAGCTCGGAACACTTTGACGACAGCAAGCGACAAGCAGCATCTGTCAAATTTTAAATACACACGTTCTTACGGACACAATTATTTTGACGACAGCACGACATCTTGGCTGCAGGACTGCAATTGTCGACGTCGCCAAATTAAATCTATTTCTAATTTTGCCGGCGACAATGAAGATGTAGTGCTGCAAAATTAAATTGTCGCAAAATTAATCACATATTCTTGATTGTTCATGTTGTTCTTATTTACTTAAATAAAAATACACAATTTGTGAAATAAATATACCAAAATGTAAAACTTTAAAATCAGCTATTTGCTATGTCGCTGAGGTCTTCAAAATGTTTAAGAAGCTGCCTTCAAGGCGACATTTGTCGATAAAATGATGTCGCTGTCGTTACGTCGTGAAGTTGCAGTCGTCAAAGTGTTCCGAGCTTAAAGTAGAATTCAATATAAAGTTCCCTAGACCTGGGTGTTTTCAAAACCATTTCGTTTTTCGGAATAAGTGTCGGTATATTGAGTTTACACGTATTTACTTTAAGTCGTGCGTGTATTTTAACCACCTGTGTGTTGTTTTCCGCCCCAAATACCCTGCCGTCCTAGGCCCGGGCCTGTCAGACTTTATGGCGATTCCGCCACTGGATGCGACACACAATACAGCAGTGGCACTAGCAGTACTGATCAGTTCAGCCGTGGCTGCCAATGTTAGCAGTAACAGCTGATTTTAAAAGCTGTAACTGCCACTATTGTATTTTGGGCTTAAAACCTCTGCAGGTCCTGCAATGCAGTCTGAAAGCAACGGCCAAGAAGAACGCTTTTAATCAATACAGAGTGAAATCGCTGGAGCAGCTAAACAAGAGGCGATAAAGGACCACCATCCTTTTCACCTTCATCGTATTCACCTTACTTTTGCGTTTAACAAATTTTTTTCAGCGCATAGCTCAGTGGTTATCATTGCTGGCTTTGCACATCGATGATGCAGGTTCGGTTCCTTCTGAAGTCTGGAGAAAGAAGTCTGATGAAGAGATGTGGTAATCTCCGAAACGGCAGCTATAACTTCTACCGCTTAGACTTTATTGCTTCTTACATTTTTCTTTAAAAAGAAAATCGTGGTAGAAAGCTCAATAACACTATTACAGTATTAAACTTATTTTATTTACAAAAAGGAAAAAAATATTTATTTCAAACCAATATAGTAATTTTTATTTTAGCCTTTTGAAAGTATATATATATTAGAATTGAACTTTTAAAGCATAAACAGAACCAAATCGCTGAGCGAATTTCGTTGGACAGAGCAATGCCGTCGGGTAATATTCGCCGCAACATTTCGCCCAATTAAACAGAACCGAAACGAAATTCGCATCAAGTGAACGATAAATAAAGAATATAAAAATGCAAAAGCGAAATCACTAATCCGCAAATTTTCTCATTTTGCCTATTCTAGACAAATATCTGCTACAAAAGTGAAGAAATTAAGCTATTTTATCACTGACAACTGATTTTGTGCCGGGCGATAGCGGAAAAATTAAATATAAATCTATTCCCGCAGAATCTCGTTTGATTTGTCTACACTTTTAGAAAAGCTCTGAAAAAGTACCAAGTCAATGAAAAAAATATTTATTTCTTATTTTATTTACACTTCAAATAATGAAATGAAAAGAGATTTTATTGTTTTAATCAGCTTCATTGAATTTTTCTACTCCTTCATTACTTACTGAAGTAATTGCGCAAATACAAACCCTGGTCTCACAGACGTTTAAAGCGGTAGTGGGCACCGTCCTCACCGCGGGAAGGCTGATTCGCACCACCGGTTTAAAGCATACAGTTCTGAATGTCCTCTTACACAGAGCGCACTTGTCACACTAAATTGTGCGTAATAACAAATCATTAACCTACCGTGCATGTTGTATTCGACCCTAACTACAAAATGCACTATGTTATGTTTCGGGTGTATTTTCACTGTCGCAGCGTGTTATCAATAAAATAGTAAGCTTTTTACTTTTTCCGAATTACATACCTATGAATCTTCCCAATTTCGAACCGTAGAGTGAACCTGCACTTGATACAATCACGCAGGTCTTGACATCCTTATCTTTACGCAGTAACTTCTGTTTGGGAAAAAGTTTCCCAATTTCTATTTTGTTAAATGCGGGATCCTTGCGACGAATTATCCGCACACCAGCATCCACAACTAAACATGACGATGGGTAGTACTGCTCTTCGAAGCTATTGGCAAACATTGGTTTGAAGTTAACGTTGTAGAAGTTGGTTTCATTTGCTGAGTCAGTTAATGATTTTTCAAAGATGTGAATAATGTGTTGCCGAAAATTCGCAGTTTTATTCTGGCAATTCTCTAAATGCTTATCATGGCACATGAATAGTTTTGGGTTAAAGGTGAGTTTTGTATTCTTCGATAGCTTCAACCGGGGATGTGGGGAAAGCTTTGATGAGTTTACTGCTGGTTTCTCCCGACTTTCCACGATAAACTTTTCATTGGGATTCCAACGAACATGATAAACACTTCGAAGCTTGCGTTGATGACAGCAGCGATCTATATAAATATTAAGAGAACATGTGTAACACATATTAGCATGATGGTACTTATTTATTTGCACTTTGTATCCTACAATACGAGTGCCTTAGGCCCGCTGCAAACGCATGTTCTTTAACGCTACGGCACCGATGCGTTGCCATAATTATGTTCTAATATATAGAACTGGATAACAAATTGGCGTTTTCGTGCATAGTAGAAAAGAGAATGCCGCAGCGCTGGCGTAGCGTTAAAAAAAAGTTTGTGTGAATCAGGCCTTCTTCGTAAAGAAAAGGTTTAAATTTTTTTTAAAAACACGATATTAACTTTAGAACTGAATGGATGTACTCCCCTATAAAAAACTGTGCAAACATGGATATGTATCCTATTTCAAGTAAATTTATTGAACATTGAATTAGTAAATAACTACTTAACCATATCTTAATTTTTGGAAATGTACGAAAACTTTGTATGTACAAGGCGTCATATCTTTTTTCCTAGATCAGAGCCGGGTGCCAAGGGTGTAAGAAGTGGGAGCATCCCTTTAAGAAATGCGAGCATTTCACCATGCATATGGTGACCATCCGTATTTAATTTCAAATGACAGTCCTTTTGCTCGTGTTGCTGCTCTTTGAATTCATTTATTTTTCTAAAAACGTATTTTGTCCTTTATTTAAATACTTGTCCTTTGAAAACACTTTTTTATACGATGTCAGAAATTAATGAATTTTTTTATACAGGGTGTCCCAGAAGTAACGTGCCAAACTTTAGGGCAAGGTA